GACACTCAGACAAGCATTAATTGAATATGTACCCTTTTGTCTGCTTGCTAGTGATAAGGCATACCCCTTCCCTGTTTTGCCTTGTTTAATGGCCTGTTGCTTAGGTTGTCACATTTGGGTAATTGCTTTGTTACTGCCAGAGTTGTCTTTTTGTATATTGCACTTCTTTACAATGGATTGATGGAGAGGGTGGGTAATGTTGGATTAGTTCTATAGTGGTACTAGCTTTCTGTCCAAAGCCAGCAAAAGTATAACTAGCCAGATTACTAGAAATACAGTAGAACCTTTGTTCTTGAACTTAATTCATTCTGGAAGGCTGTTCAAGAAACAATTTGTTCAAAAACCGAATCAGTTTATTCCTATTAGAAATAATGTAAATTGAATTAATCTGATCCAGATCCCCAAATGATTTATTTAAACATTTCTTATATAGAGTACATGTTTAATGTACTGTTTAATCTATAAATAAACACTTTAAAAACAAAAGAGCATGAAATATAAGTGAAAATTTAACAAAAAGAAAATGAAATGTACAGTAAAAAGTGAAAATTTACATACACACTAGAACTTACCTTTAATGTTGAGAGCTATTGATGACTGAATATGGAGAGGAGGGATGGAGGAATGTTATTGTTTGGGAGGAGAGTCCCTTCCATGAAAATGTCAAGTAGCTATTCATCTGGGGTTCTTTCTTGCTTTTGTCTCTTTGTTCCACTGGAACTTGCTTCAGGCTCACTGGGCCTCTTTCTCACTAAAAACCTATCAAATGATGTTTGTTTTTGTCTGTATTTTAACACTTACCTGAAGTGAAACACTGCATTGTCATTGAACAAGTTTATTGCACAGTTTGCTGCTTCTTTGTCAGGGTGATACAGTTATTTCAATAAAACTTTGCATTTTTCCCCATTTCCCAAGCATTTCCTGGATTAGTGAAGTAGGAATATCCTCCTTTCCCTCCTTCTCCTCTGAAGAGAGCTCCTCAGCTACTGTCTGTTGCTGCTCCCTCTGAAGGTCTTGGAGTTCCTTGGTGGTCAGCTCAGTGTTGTGGTCCTCCACCAACTCTTCCACATCATCATCACCCATCTTCAAGCCCATGGACTTGCCTAGGCACAGTATCCTCTACAACAGACACTGGCTCATCCTCAGAGACCTCAAAGTCTCTTTCAGCAATGGACTCAGGCCACAATTTCTTCCAGGCTGATTGCATGGTCCTGGAAGACACGTGGCCCATGCTTTGCCTATTAGCCTCAAGCAAGTGAGGATGTTAAAATGTTCCTTCCAGAACTCCCTGAGTATTAAATTAGTTTCAGAGGTCACCTCAAAACACCTCTGAAATAGTGTTTTTGTGTAGAGTTTCTTAAAATTAGAAATGACCTGCTGGTCCATGGGCTGGATGGAGAGGAGCTGTGTTAGGTGGCAAGAACCTAACAGTGAAGAAGCTATAGTCCTCCACCAACTTGGCCTCCAAGCCTTGAGGGTGGCAGGAGTATTGTCCATTACAAGTGCCCTGAGTGGCAGTTGTTTTTCCTAGAGGTATTTCTTCACACTTGGGGCAAACACTTCATGAATCCACTCAAAAAATTGCCTGGTTCCCCAAGCTTTGCTATTCGCTCTCCACATCACATTCAACTTGTTTTTCATGACATCATTTTTGTGAAAACACATGACATTATTTTTCTTAAATTTAGAATGATAGACAATTAGAGGCTTAAATTTAGAGTCCCTACTTTCATTCCCACACAACCTAATGTCAGCTGGTCCTTCACTCGTTTGTGTCCCAGCAATGACTTCTCCTCCTGTGTGATATAGGTCATCTTTGGCATTTTCTTCCACAGGAGGGCTGTCTCATCAGAGTTGAACACCTGTTGGGAAACAAATCCCTTGGCCTCTACGTATTCTTGAAATTCTGTCACAAAATTATTAGTAGCTACTTTGTTAGAACTGGCAGCCGCCACATGCCTCACTATATTATGAATGCCACTTCTTTTCTTAAATTTATTGAACCATCCCTATTAGCCTTAAACAAATCACTTTCAGTACTCATGCCAGCGGTGTCTTTCAGGAGGTCAGTATGCAGCATCTTTGCTTTTTCACATATCATTGCCTCTGAAATGCTGTCACTGGCTGACTGATTTCACACCCTTAGCAACATCACACTTTTGATGGCCTCTTTATGTATTAAAATTGTGCTAGTTGTGATTTCACCATGCCATACTTGGTAGCCAGATTAGACATGACAAACTCCTTTATCAGACTTTGCAATTATTACTTTTTAAAGCTCTATTGCTATTCTCACAACTTTCCTTTTCACTTGACTGCTATCACTAACCTTCTTAGGATCCATGGTGACTTCCTGTATGTATACTATATAATAAAGAGGGAATATGCAAATTGACCGTCACTCCTCCACAAAGATGGTGATGCCCACAGTGGAGGCGAGGGGGTTTCCGTAACACAAGATGGCTGCAACGAGCCTTAACAAGCAATCAGCAGGTACCTGAGGCTGTGCCCCTTCTCGGCGCCAGGCCAGGGGACCTGAGGTTGTGCCCCATGCCTGGCGGGGCTTGACAGGGGACCTCAGGCCATGCCCCCTGCCCAGCAGGTCTTGACAGGGGATCTCAGGCCGCGTCCCCCACCCAGTGGGGCTTGATGGGAAACCTCAAGGCGCGCCCCCCTCTCCGGCGCTGGGCCAGGGGACCTGAGGCTGCACCCCACTCGGCGGGGCTTGACAAGGGTGGGGTCGGCTGGGTCTGGATCTATCCCAATGGGCGGGGGCCGGCTGGGTCTGGGTCTTGCGCGATTTTGAGGCTCACATGGGTGGGCGGGGACTTGATTTTGGGTCCTGTGGTGCGCCCCAGACTCTGACAGGAAGAAGATTTTCATATACATTTTACTAATTTTCTTTCATCTCTGACACTTCTATTATAGAGAAAGGGCAAATAGCAATATTAAAATATTTCCTCTAATTAATACCCTTTTAATGTGCATGAATTTCATGCACCGGGCCACTAGTTTAATAATAATAAGCAGCAACAAAACTAAAAAAAAACACGAAAATATTCACAGAACAGCCCTGACTGGTTTGGCTCAGTGGATAGAGTGTCGGCCTACGGACACAAGGGTCCCAGGTTCAATTCCAGTCAAGGGCATGTACCTTGGTTGCGGGCACATCCCCAGTAGGGGATGTGTAGGAGGCAGCTGATTGATATTTCTCTCTCATGGATGTTTCTAACTCTCTATCCCTCTCCCTTCCTCTCTGTAAAAAAAAATCAATAAAATATATTTAAAAAAAAGAAAATATTCACAGAACAATTTCCTGATATGTTAACTATGGAAGGTTTAGTGGTAAACTGAGTTGTACTTGCACATTTTCTCCTTTGTTGTCTGAGAGATGTGTGACTGATCATACAGTTATCAACATGAAAGGGTTGTTGGGTGGGTTGAGAACCTAAGTTTTGTTCTACAGCCGAGACATTTTTTTCTGTGAACAACATGCTTGAGAACCAATTGTTGGGTGGGTTGAGAACCTAAGTTTTGTTCTACAGCCGAGACATTTTTTTCTGTGAACAACATGCTTGAGAACCAATTGTTCAAGATGGCAGACATTCGAGAACTGAGCTTTGACTGTATGTGTTTGAATCAGATTCTATATTTATTGCTGTTTTAATCTCTAATGTTAAATTTTTAGGGTTCTAGATAAATATGTTTAGAGCAGACTTGTGTTTTAGAAAGCAAGCATCTTTTTACTTATCTCAAAATTTCACTTATTTTGAACCCCATAAAATATTTGAATAAGAAAATTTAGATCTGTTCAACAAATTTTGATTATTTGACCTTTTCTTTCTCAAGAACTCTACTTCAAAATGAAATCTAAATAGAAAATGCAGCATCAAAAATGGTGTATGTCAAAAGCAACAAATTGAATGTGAATCATTTTGGTTTTGGGGCTGTCTCGTGTGAAGATGAAATCAAGGAGTCGTCATGGTCTTTTGCAATAGCACTTCATTGATACCATTATCTGAGTAACTGCTGAGATGATGCTTTTATTTCTTTTTATATTGTAACTTTGCAGCCCTGTGGGTTTTCTTAAAAATTACTATTCGTTTTCCTGTGATTAAGGGCAAGATTATCTTTTGAGATCTTGAAATAGCCACTCAATATAAGGAAATCCTCTATTTTTTACCTGACTGATGAATACCATCCCATAGCTCATGGATATATTAGAATTACTGGAATGACATATTATTAGGAAAACTAAGATGGAGGATATTTAGAGGTCAGATAGACTTGGTTAAGGAAACAAGACTGTAAGAGTGGTGAAATGGCTTTTCCCTTAGTAGCTCAGCAAGTTACTATGGAGCTGAAAATGTCTCGTATGTCTCCAGTTCTTCCCATTCAGTTCTTTTCCTATTCAATTCAATTTCATAATTCCAAATTACATTTTTTAAAAGATTAAGCTGAAACTGGTTTTTAAAAGTGAATTGGGGTCAAATTTTTCCACTAAGTACCTAAACTAAAACTCAGTCTTGACTTACTCCCTGAGTTAGATCAAGCTTGATGACATCTGTTAAAAACCTGTCCTCTGCAGGTTGAACACAAAAGAGAAACAATGCATTTATTTGTTTCACTGCACATTGTTAAGTACTTACAGTGAGGTAACCTGTGTAGAAATTAAAGTTGACTTCAAGCAAAATAATTTGAATAAGTTTAGTGAGTTATTGACCAATAAATTTTATTCAGACTTGAATTTCTTCTAGTGATAACAATATAACTTGGTAAATTACATCACCAACTGGACCTAATAGTATGCCAAAATTGAACTTTTTCTAATGCACTTCTGGAATAATTGGATAATATGACATTGCATTTTGATACCTCTCTTAAAAATAAGAGCCTTTTCCAAAGGTTCTTTAAGAGCATTAATGTTTATTAATCCAGAAGAGTGGTGTTTACCTTTTATTCTTTGTTTTTATACTTTTTCTTACTATTTATTGTCCACTTTGTTGTTTGGGGATCACTTGTAATAATCACCAAAATTTGCTGAGGAGCGCATTAGGTGTATGAGGCTGTCCAGAGGACAGTCTCCAATGTGCAGTCTTAAACTGTATTGCTTATAGGTTACATGATCCTTTAAACTTCATCTTTGCCTTCTAAGACAGGTCTACATTAGACTCTTATTTATTGATTGTAAGTGGCGTTACAGGATGTTTGAGAGTATTACTGTTTGCTCTAAGCTTTAGTTTAGAGAAAGTTAATGTGACTAATAATTGGTCAAAGAACAGGGAAGCAAATAGGTTAGTTTGAACTGTGTGACCTATATAGTCAGAGGAGTAGATATAGAAGAAAGCATCTCAAGTCTGAGGGCATTGTGTTACCTCGTTTAATACTTACCATAACCCTTTGAGAGGTGTTATTATCCCAGTTTTATAGATGAGGAAATTGAGGATGTGATAGGTTCACTTCTTAAGTGCCATAAACTTTTAGTGCTAGGGATGTAAAGATGGACAAGACACATATTTTGGAACTGAGATTTAAGTCTCAGTTTGGCTAGAATTAAAGACATACGACACTGGTGTCAGTGTGAGTGCTCCTTCCCTTGCATCTTCTCCTTCAGCCATGTTTCTTTCTGAAGAATCTACTGCAGTCTTCTTTCAAGAGATCTCACCATCCTTCCCACTAACTACTTTTTTTAAATCTGTTTCTAAAAACTCCCATTTATTGAGCATTGCTTCTATGTCAGACACTTTTATAACAGGCAAAGCACTACCCCCATTGTATTGATGAGAAAATCAGTACCTAGAAAGGTTAAGAACCTGGAGTTATTTAGAAAATACCCTGCTCTTCGTGAGATGCTGTGCTGGGAAAGAGAACTGCCTCTGAAGTGGTTGGCCAGTAGACATCGACAAAAAAAGACTGTAACTGGCTTTGTGCCTTTCCTCCCCTTTATGGTGGTTTAGTGGGAGCTCTTAGACCTGCCTGCGAGAGTTGGAGAATATTTCACAGGACTGGCCTCACTTAAGCTGAACCATGAGGAAATATAATGTGGGCCGCATTCCAGGCAGTACCAAGATCTGACATGAAGTATGAGGAAGTAAGATATTTTTGAGAAACAGCCAGTAGTTTATTACAACTGGACTATGGGCAAGAATAGCTAGAGCCTGGCTGGTATGGCTCAGTGGTTGAGAATCAACCTGTGAATCAGGAGGTCACTGGTTCAATTCCTGGTCAGGGCATATGCCCAGTTGCGGGCTCGATCCCCAGTGTGGGGCATGCAGGTGGCAGCTGATCAATGTTTCTCACTCATCGTTGATGTTTTTATCTCTCTCCCCCTCTCT